GTGATCTATACTTAAGAAACGCACTGTAGTAACTCAATACTATTTAATATAATATATTAAATACAATAATTTAAGTTGCTAAATTATTGTATTATCTTGTAAATGTAACAGAAATAAATTAAGTTTAATATAATGCACAATACTCTGCATACTGAGGGTCATAGTCTGTATATTGTGAGTCTGCAAGGCACCGTTCACTACGAACTGCTACCAGTCATCTTCACGGCTGACCCATCTTGTCACGGCTGGATAGATTGGGTGGGAGGCGTCTGTATCTGGCATGATCCGTCCCCGGATACGGTATCTTCTCCCCGAACAACGCGTCGCGTGTACCGCTCCCGTCGCGTATCGTAGAACTGCGATGGATGGTTGGAGCGCGCAATCTGAGTCAGGGAGTCCTTTAATAATTTACACTTGCTGGATTTTTTCTAAATCAGAAAGAAACAATCAAAATCAATAAAAAAAGGCTGTCAAGGAAAACTATGGTGTTCTATTGGATTGGCAGGGAGGCCATCCGAGTACGGTAGTNAAAAAAAGGCTGTCAAGGAAAACTATGGTGTTCTATTGGATTGGCAGGGAGGCCATCCGAGTACGGTAGTTGCAGTTTGGAACCGGTAATCGGTAAGGTAACCAAAAAAAAATGTCGCATGCCGCCAAGCGGATGCGGGAGAGTCGTAGTTCCGCCACCCTCGCAACTGTAAGTCGCTGATAGCTGTTCGACTTCAGATGAGAAGCGCTGGTCAACCCATCTGAAGCTCTTGGCGATAACAATTCATCACATTTTTTGTCTTCTACAAGCTTCGTGAAAAGAGGACAATAATGATGAAGATGACCACCGTGGAAGCTCGGGAAAATCGAAACATTTCTATAACGAACTGATTGAATTCCTGAGAGACGAAAACATTGTCTAATAGCTGCAAAAGAAACGGTTGAGCCTTCTCTCCTCCTATGCTTATCTTTCTTCTAGTTTGTGCAAGGCTTGTCCTCTTCAAATTGATTTGCAAAACTTTTCCATGCTTTATATCTGATCTCAGTATTTTCAGTTTGCACGGCTTGAAGACATCCGTTCTACAAGTGAGCGTAAAGAAGTAGGTTTTTCGAAAACGTCAGAAATCTATTCTCAGCCAATGGCTGGTGTTCAAATATTCTATTTTGGATCTAGTGAGATCAAAGAAAAAGCTCTGCTGAGTGATCGATACGCACTAATTCTGGGTGTATTGCAGGCGCTCGCGTACCCCATCAGGCGCTTCCGTTCTCTCCGTTGAACCTCTCAAGGATTCGGTAGGTATTCCCCAATAATTTTATACCTTCGAACCGGTGCAGAGTACAAATGTCTCACTGTCACGGATTATTTGCCTCTGAAGGAGTCGCGGCTACATTCAGAG